CTGAGTAGACTCGATGCATGCCCGAGCGCCACGCGCGAGGGTAAAAATTTCAACACGCACTTTTGGGCAGCCTATGGTACGACCCCCTGACGTGCGTGTTTTCATTCCGCAAAAATTGTTAAAGCCTTATCGCATTTTATTAGGTTTAACATAAACACTGCCACGATGTTCCAGAACAACCGGCGATTCCGCCAAAAAAACCTTATCAATGAACTTGTAATTCACAACAGTAACAGTTTTTAATCTATAATATGAAGTATGACCATAAACATTGAGCTTAATAGTGGCCAAATGCACTCAATGTCACAATGCAAGCAAAATACAAATCGCTATGTTAATTTTTGTTTGCACGACTATGATTTCCGTTGAGATTTCCGTCGTTAATCCGTTATTGTTTGATTTTTACTTAGTTTTGTTTGGTTAATTTAAAAACCAGTGGTACGATAGATAAACTGCAGTGAGGTCATGCACGTTTTATTCAGTGAAATATAGCCAGACAAATGCTGCCAAAACTTTAAACTTGGCGAAACTCTCGACAACAAATTTACTTTATTTATACTGCATGGGTTAGGGTTAAGCACAAGAGTTGGCAGTCTTAATGCGGCTTTCCTAACACTATGTTAATCTAGAGCTAACCCCCCTCCCCGCCCCTGAAATTTTATGATCAGGGAAAAAAATTATACGTTAATTAAGGTACGTTTACACGCTGCGATTTGTCGGGCCGATTTTGCTCGCTGTATGTAAATAACCTGTCGTCAGTACTCGCGTCAGCACCTTGCGATTCACAAAATCGGGAGAAAAATCTGTAACACTAACACAGATTTTTCTCACGATTTTTCTTCCGTTGTATAAAATTGTTGAAAACTTTTCGCACGCAGAAAACTATAATATGAACAGACGAGAGAGCGGACAGCTTCAATTGAACGTTTAAATCGCTAAATGTCGAAGAAGGGGCATCGATTATTTACCAAAATCGGCCCGACAAATCGCAGCGTGTAAACGTAGCTTAAGGCAATTTCATGAACGTCGGGGCAAGTTGATGCCCCCCCCCGGCAATTTTTTTTCTCCCGTTCGCCTATGTTGCGATTGCCAGCTCTCATGAACTCTCATTCTCGATTGACCGGGGCTTATATTTCATATTACTGACCATTACTGATATCTTATCAGAATTATAGAAAATCCGAAAGTGATGACATCACCGTGACTAGAAGCAGCTGAAACGGAAAGCGAAGCCCCCATTTCGTCGACGAATTTCGTTGTATTGATAAAGTGCAAGTGTGCAATATTGTAATAGTCTTACAATGAGGAACTGCTTGTTGTTGAACAGGTTCCTGGTGGATTTCCGTTTGAAAAGTTTCCCAGTACAAAAGAAGGCCAGTCTTTCAAAATTGTAGCCGGTAAACTGGTTTGTTTGGCGCGGTGATAAACTTCACCGCGGATTGCTTCGCCATGTAGCGCATGAGCAACATCACAAACATCATATTCACCTGAGTACATAACACCAACACAGAAAAAAGTCTTATTTATCAGAAATCAAGTATATACATGACTAAAGAAGGACAATCAGTTTCTTTTTGGATGCTACTGTAACATACAAGCTCTTAGTCTTAGCTTTCTTAACGTCCGTTTATGCGGATGTGAACAAGTAGATGAGTTATGAATTAACAGTTGATCAATGCTAAATACTGGTCAGTAGGAAATAGAGAATATAAAAAGCCGATTTCCTTGACTTTCCTTGACGAAGATAATTTCCAGACCTGGATCAGTTTGAAATATTGAATTTCATGACTTTCCAGCCACGACCCGTACAAAATACAAATCCTGAATTAAACTCGATCGAATGAGCAAGATACGTTTCGGTATAGGCGCTTTCCATGTAATCGCCAGGCCGCGTTCAGACCAGAATTTCTGGTTCTTTGTGTTAATGGAAAAATCTGGTTTCTCTAAAATGGACCTCCTTCTAAATTTGACCCAAAGTTTGCGGTCAGATTGGAGGTCAGATATGTCTGAAGACGATCAAGCTGTGCTAATGGAAAGCGTCCACAAACTTTTCCTGTTAATTCATTATGAATAAGTGTCGCAACAGAGGTGTCGCAAATTCCTGTGGTAAGTACGATTGGCGATTGCATGTCAAAATGAAATTTATGTGCCGTAGCCTTATCTTAGCGGATCTGTGTGTACATAAATATGGCATTAGACGAGCTATCAGTTGAATATCAGACACGATTTATTCCCAAAATCATTGCCAGTGAGAATTCGTCTCGATCGTTCGTCAGTGTTTACAGTAGACAAAGACATGAGGTGTCTGGATCGTTCGACAGTAGTTACACGCATTACAAACCTTAGTCTGTGATTACAAGGGTAAGACGGGTGGCCGTCAGCCTGGTGATACAGCCGAGCTGAGCCGAAACAAACTATCCGAAACATATCAGGCACAATTCATTCTCGGAATCATCGTCGGGCTAAGATCGTACCGCTATCCAGCTTTAAATAAATGATATTTGAAAAATACACTGTCAACGTCATCTGACGACATCGACAACTGACAACATTCGTCGTTAACATTCAGCAAAACCTGAAATCGGCCCGTTTAATCGTTGTGTATAAATGTAGCTTAATTAACACGGTTGACCCCGTCAGGCAGACGACTAATTTTGATAAATTGGTTCGAGATTCATCTCTATCGGTTAACCATCGCTTGTTAACTTCTAAAAAAAAGTTTTTACGTATTGTATATTTGTACGAATCCGGCCAAGATTCTACTAGTACGATTGTCTGGATAGTCCGTCTAATGTTTACACTAAAGTCTGGTTGACACTATCAAATTTTCTGTGAGTCACAGTAGGAATTTTGCATGGATAAATATCTAAGCTTTGAAGGTTTGTAAGAAATGTTTGAGTGAACTGAGTCAGCGCATATGGTCAGTGTAAGCAATGAGTCAGGTCCCTTCAAACATTTCTTACAAATCTTTCAAAACTCAGAATATTTACCCATGGAAAATTCCTACTGTGATTACAGAAACTTTGAAGCAATATGTCGATATTATAAAGTGCAAACGGATCTATATATTAAGTCTACAGGCGAACCCCGGAACACTTGTGTGTGTCATATTTCGTTTACGTAATAAAAATGACATATTAGGGAACTCAGTTGCCCAAATGAAGTCTTGATAAACTATATATTTTATGTAATAAATAAAGCGAAGTTCATAACTATTCATATTTGTCTAAACTATCGACTGTCGAAAGGAGTTAACGTTTTAAAGAGTACAATACGAAATCCTATAGAAAAAATTGTACAAAGGCATTCATGTAATTGAATTTACTCGCAAGCTACTGACGCATTTTGACGCGCCGACTAAGAGTCTAAGTGTTTATGAGTTGTTTTGTACAACGACTTTTGATACTGGACGTTGAGACTTGATCAACAGTTTATGAACACAAGATCCTGCATCGAAGTGTGTCGTGTAATGCGAAACATTAATCTTATATACATATATTATCGCCTTGAACAGAATAATAAACATTCAGTTGTCAAAAAGCTTATTTGTACATGCATCTTATATTTCCGTACTAATATCACCAAAGAAACAACCTGCAAAATATCTATCAATGCCAAATTCAGGTGAAATTAAGGCACTTCAGTGAGATAAGCTATCTTCGCGAAAATAAAACGCCGATTCCCTGAACGTACTACGATTCCCAGTGCTCCTGTCTGAATTTCTTCGCATGTCTGAGTTGAACTTTTTAAGACTCAAGGCTATTACATTGGGCGACATTGTAGGCTCCGTTAGAAAGGTTCTTGTATAGTGCCTTGCCAGACATCGTTAAAGTTACATAATGAAACTCGTTTATCATATAAATACACCTTGGCATCAGCTATATACACACTGTATATTACAAAAAAACGCATTACAGCAACGACAGATTTTCCAAAATCTGATTGAGGACCAAATTCTTTCGGCATTTTCGCAAAGTCACTCCGTTTTCCATTAATATAGACCTCTCCATTTCTTCACAAATCGCAGCCCGACGCCTGGCGAAGATTTCACATGATACCAAGAGATCCGAGTCTGACTTCGAACGTCTGCGGCCCATATACACTTCCGAAGGTGGCTTGAAATCTAAGTATTCATTCTGTACAACAAGTCCGCCTATGTTTTCTATACTGGACGAACGTTCGGGAATTTGTGGCATCTTTTGCGTTGCGCCTGTAAAATTCTCTTCGCCTTCTACGCTCGCTGAAGCAGTAAGCCTTTGATGTTTGAATTCATTATCAGGAGTATATCTTCGCTGTTTCCTTAAATTTCCCACCAGTCGATCGACAACATTTTTGGGTCTCGGAGCGTCTCGGGTATCCTTCGAACGTGATTCGAATTCGTCATCGTTTGTCAAGACATGAAATGGAATTTTATTATGACGAACCATGAAATTACTTTGGACTCTCGCAGACATTTCAGCTCTCGGTGAATAAGCCGATAAACAGCGAAGCCACAGCAATATATACTTAACCAACAATACCGGATAAGGAATTATATTCGCTCTATTCCCCTATAATCCTTTCGTGGCGTTTAGGAAAGCTACATCATCGTCTATCACACAGGTTTTTCAGCAATAACGCAATATAAGTCATCCAACTGTAACATCATACTTCTCAAATGAAGTTGTTTTCAAGTCCGGAGTAGCTCCCCACTGGGTATTAAATGCAAATATTTTGTTATATATTCAATAGATGGCACTGGATTAATACCGCGGTGCAATTACGTGCTTGAAAACCGGGGGGAAGTGCGCTAGAAAGTCGCCCGCTGTGAAACAATCGCGAAGATAACATTGTTTTGGTTAAAAGATATACTCATATTTCGCATTCAATAACAAGTTTGTTTGGGTATATTTGCCATTTAATAAGAAAACTTTGCGAGTTCGATATTGCTCGCAACTTTGGGGAATTACTTTTGGCACAAAAGCAAATAATGATTAATCATTTACATGGCCGGAAAAGCAAGGCAAATGGGCAATGTTTGTTCGAATACTCGCGTTGTTTGGCTTAGTGACATTTACATTTAACACCTAATGAAAGTGATAACATATTAGCCATGATGACATTGCCTCCGTCACGGACACTTGAAACGCCCGAATTTCAAGCATTTCATTTCCATTGCGGAAGTAAAAAGAAAGGGCTAGCTTACTGCCGAAAGCAATATATCTCGACATTTATTATTGAGTTACAAATACATGATACGCATGTAACATGTTGTCCCCAAAAAATGCTACAGCGATGTTCCAGATTTTTGCACAAGCAAATTTTTACTATTAGTGGGCATTGAAATACAATTACTAAATTTGGTCCATGCATTAGTTGTCTTAAGTATCAACAGGTTTGACGACCCCTTAACCTAAATTATTTGTTTTAATATTCTTCGTGTTAAACTTCATGAAAATTTATCTCTTAGGCTGGATTTTCGATGCGACTAAAGTCAGTAAAGAGAGTATATAAAGACCAATTTACACGACACAACTTTTGCCCAAAACTGTCACATGCAACCTGCTTACAACTTGAGTTGTACTGTGTGAAAATCAAGCACACACATCGCCTAGGTTGTCATATATAGAAGAGTTGTGTGCTTGATTTACACAGTACAACTCAAGTTGTGAGGTTGCATGCGACAGTTTTGGGCAAAACTGATAATGTAGTGTAATAATTAGCTGTGCTGTAAAAATCTGGCAATTTTTCAGACATTCTGTATACAGTACTACCAATATTGTCTGCCAATATCCCAAGGTTTTCGTAATTTTTGTTAAGTTGTTAATGAGCCCGGGCTAGCCGTTGAGCTTATCTTTAAATTGTGAGCAATGTATTGGGGCCTTTAGAATTTTAGATCCAGTTTCTTAGTCTCTACGATCATTTTTGTTTCAGAATTGAACAGGCAATCATAACTTATCGTGACTTCAGTGAAGGGAAGAATATATAGATTGAGCACAGTAAACCTATATTAGAAGAGAGCCTGAGGTGCCAGATACTACTCCTTATATTTACGAGTACTGGTAGACGCCGGAACATGCTTGTCAACAAGTTGTAACAATGCTGTTTGAGTGTTATTTTATCAAGTTGCTACAAGGTTGTCACTGCACAACTTGCCGACGACAAATTGTTGAATCGCAAGACGATAACAAGTTATTGGAACAACTTTTAACAAGTTGTGCTCAACATCCTTGTAGCTGGGAACAAGCAGTGCGAACTACGTTTGAAATAGTTTGTGTTGTATGTATGCAAATACTAAATGCTTGTCATAACAAATTTATCCCAAATATGTTTTAAGTGCATAGCTGTGTGTTCGGCAAGTTTCATCTTTTAATTTTCATCATTGCTTTATAAAAATACTCTCCAATCTATCATGTTGCGTAGTCAGTTTCGGTGCTATGTTCTTGATTCTGTTTTACAATACAAGCTAAGCCGCGGAATGTGATTTTTACGCTGTAGCCAAGGTCGCTACGGTAAAAAGAATGCTCTCCCAAGTCGTGTAGGGTATTTTATGTGAATTCACTATTGGAGTACTTAAAAGGGTTGTTCTAGTGCACTGAAAGACAAGTACTTTGAGGAGGTAAATATTGTTTAGCACTAAACGTATGCATACTCGCATATACAAAACTGTATTTTGCGAGGGGCAAATCACTCCTAAACTAAATATTTTATATTTTTCACGGATCAGTTTTTTTTTATTTTTCCAACAACCCTTTCCCCCCATTATTCTCTTTTAAAATCACTCCTAAAAAGTGTACGAGATCAAAACCTAATATGATTTTTCTTGTGAGTTCAGTGATTTTTTTGTTGATTTTTTTATTTTGTGATTTTTAGGGTGAGGGTGTATCCTCGGATGCTAAAACTCAGGATGTGCTTTTTGACCCATTTTTTTCCCAGAATTTCCGTTAGTGAGGAGTGCTAATCGTCCTTACTTGTAGCTGAGAGCGAAGCTGAATTAACGAAGGACACATCTCAACCTGATTCGAGTGATGCCTCTAGCCACCTCATCATGACTCATGTCGCATCATGACTCATGTCTCATCACGAAGCACAGCCACGGCGGAAGGGGTTAGTTTGGGATTTAACACAACCCACCCATGTTGTACATAGTTTCAATCATTCTTGTAATTGCGGCACGTAATTGAGTCTAACCAGTGACGCCGGAACGATGTGAAGGCAAGGGGGGCAGATTTTCGTGAAAGGGCACTTTTGGATTGATATATACGAAGAGATGCTTGCAACACATCGGGAGTTGAACTTCGCCTAATCATATTTTCTATTTATTGGATGATAGGGGTGTGAGGGGGTTCTCCGCCAGGCGATTGTGCTATTCCTGAAGCTCGATGACTGCATTTCTTGCGTTTTCTGAAGCAAATTCGTAAAATAATTGCACTAACATTTCTGACAATTCGCTATTTCGCCAAGGCAATCCTTTAAATTGAAAGGGCACCTTTGCCCCCCTTGCCCCTCCTGGTAAACGGCAACGGGGGCGGCTGCCCCTCCTGCCCCCCCCCAGTTCCGGCGTCCCTGAGTCTAACGACTACAACGCGTGTATGTTTTTAATAAACTATTATTATAGATTATTATTATCATGTTCGCATACAAAAATGGAAGCAATTTTGTTTTCTGCTGTTGCTGTTGTCGCGGTTGCCAAAGGCAGGGATGTGCTTCTTCACCTTACGAAGGACGCAGCTCACCCTAGTCGAGTCGAAACTCCGAAAGCTTTCTAAAGGCACATCTGGCCACGAAACACAGACACGGCGGAAGGGTTAGTTTGCGATTTATCGGTCCCAACCCACCAACTATGAAACCCAGGCAAAAATAGGTAAAATTCAAGTTAAAAGTTTGACATTTTCAGGTAAAATTTGCGTCATAAAGTAATTATTTTTGTGAAATGATAACCGTTTTTGTAAAATACAGACAATTTGCATCCAATTCGTTTACTTTAGAAAACGCCAGAAATGCAGTCCTAGAGCTTTAAAAATGTGAAAATTTTCTACAGGGGGAGGACCCACAGACGTCGACCCCTTTTCTTCGGAAACTTAGTATTACAGTGCATATCAATCACAAAAAGCTTTATTACAATTATCACACTTCAGGTAAAATCTTCTGACAGCCCCCCCCCCCCCTCCTCAACTTCCGATTCCCACGCTACGTCTCTGCCCATGACTTTCGTGACTTTTGTCACGTACTAAATGTGATAAGTATGTGCCAGTCCGCATTCTCTAACGATTGCGTATATGAGGTGCGATATCCGGTAAAATTCATTGAATTACGCCAAACAAAATATTTTTTTATTTCGCCCATGTCAATTAATATACATGTTACATGAAAATAACAAAATATAGAAATTTTGGGCTAAGAGTCTATAGAAACCTTTAACAGGCTTTTTGATTTCGACCCCTTGTTTACACTATAATTACGTATTAATATTTATATAGTGTCATCGTTCGGATAATATATAAAATGTTAAAGGTAGGTACATACAGTTCAAAATATTGAACTTTATTCGACAACTATTTATATTTTCATGCTTCTAGAGTATAATAAATGACCAAGATACAACAATCAGGCTTTGCAAGTGACATAAAATGAAATAAAAACATAATTAAAGTGTTTATATCACGGCGGGCGACTCCTACGTGCGCATGCGCAGACCGGACTGCACTCCATCTTTGAGATGAACTATTTTTACAGTTTAAATGAGTTTATATAGTAAAGTGAGTAAAAATATAGAGCTACATATCTATTTACATTAAGAGAAGTTAGACTGGAGTGGTGCACATAATATAAAACATTGAGCTCGTTATATAGGAAATATATTTTTTATTTTTCTTGAAAATACCATATGTGCCGATATTGTCGTTAAACTACTGTCAAGGTTATTCAAAATGTTTACTCCTTTTCTGAAAGTGAATATAAGCTCCTCCATGTATAAGCCCCTGGGCTTATTATTGGACAGGAATTTATTACCATTTGGGAAATTATTGTTTTGTCTACGAATTAATTTCCATGATTGTAGTTTACATGTACAGGTGCAATGAATATTATTTTAATAGCATCAAATGTCGTTCGTATATATAAGCCCCCCCCCCCCCTCCATGTATAAGCCCATCAAAAAATGCTTACCAACGAATATAAGCCCAGGGCTTATATCGGAGGTTTACGGTGTTATGATATTCGAAACAGCAAGTTTGGATAAAAACACACGCGGGTTTTGTCAATGTACAAATAATCTCTGTAATTGATGGGACATGATTTGCGCATCCCAGGTGATGTTAATCAGTTAATGAACGTTATCGATATGAATATCTGAAAATTCAAAGAGGATGAAAATGTCTAATTTCAATGACATATAGTTCACGCCGAATGAAATGCGTCATAATTGCAACTGTAAACATCTCAAAATTGCACAACACAATGGCATCCGGGGAAAATATAGCTACGTGATACATTCGCCTTAGTTTTCTCATAAAGGCTTATCTATTATCAGCTTATTGACTGCCTTACGTAACACGGGTCTACATCTTCTTTCTATGAAGGCTTTTTATCAGTGACAGTCGTGACAATGTATGGAAAATCATATAAGGTGTATTAGCACAAAGCGAGGACATGGGTCCTATGGCAGGAATCGTACCTACGGCACTGCGAAGCACAATCAATTCATATTCAAAAAGCACACAATCAATTCAAGAAGCACAATCAATTCATATTTTCCAACAAAATATTAGTAATCTTTGACTCTGTTACCAATGTTAATATATGGGTCACACCTCCCGTATCCACCATGCACTTTTGTAAATAGTTTTTTCTTTGTTTCTATTTATTCTCTTGTAAATATTAATACTTTGTATATAAATTGACGACGCCCCTCCAACTTATGTTGATGAGGCTAGCGTCATGAAATAAATTTTTACGATATGATACGATGCAATTCCGGTGCAGCGCTCTAACCAACTGAGCGACAGAGACCAGTTGTCGAGCTCTATAGCCACAAGTTCAGTGTACAAAAGGCCTGAGTTAGCAAAGCACCTACAGTTGCATTTTTCGCAGCTGTTCCCGGTTCCTCTTATTTTAAGGTATCTGCGCCGGAGTTCTACCGTGTACATACACGAGCACGGGGCAAGATGAGATGATTTTTTATACATAAGTTATAGACGATATGCAGGTGATATTTTTCAATCAAACAACTGCATTTATAATCATGTGGTGGTGGGGGGCAAATCTAAACCTCGCAAGCAATTTCACAGTGGTGTAGTATTTATTCTCGCATGTTTTATATAGTGTACGTGAAGGCCTGTACATTAAATCAGTATGACGTTGTCCAGTTTGTATAGTCCGTAATATGTCGTATTTTAGTGTAATAGTGTTAGATGGATGGACCTGAGTATGGGATTCTAGTTCTGCTCCCCAATCCTCAAAAAAAAAATGCAAACAAATCTACATCGCAGATGGTTATAGCCGCGGGTAAAATATGCACGCGCGCACTAATCAATGTTAATCCTTTGGATGGGATTAAAAGCAATCTGCTTAAAACCTAAGCCCATTTTCCACTACAGGCGAATTTGTTCGCGCGAAGCGAAAAACAAATCTTGGCAATGTGATTGGTCAGAGAAAAAACTCGCCGCGTAAAAGTTGGATCGGTTCCTACTTTCTTACTGTTCGCGCGAACAAATTCGCCTAGTGGACAATGGGCTCTAATCAGTTTCACGGAGTCCGACACGCAAAGAAACAATTGCCAAAACGTTAAAACGGAGATTGTATAAGTAATGTATAATAATTAGTAATTGTATGCATGGACTGGGGTTTACGAAATAAACGTGGTGTTTTTTGATCCACAAAAAACAAAGCGGCTATACAGCGTGTAGAAAAAAAGGTAATCCAGAGTGCTCTCGTGTGCTCAATATTGAGTTCACAGATTTAATTTCTTCATATTAGTAACGAATGGGGTTTACTAAGCTTTCCAATGACACTTTTCAGTTGTATTATTTCAAGCAAAAATACGACTCTAACCGACTCAGTGCCGGTTGAAATCACAATTTTCCTGTAAACTAAAGTAAAGTCTGTTAGGAAGTTTCACGTGAATAATAAAAAGCTTTGTTTGTACATTTTAAGCCGGTGTTCAAGAATACATATTAGAGACCTTACGATTTTAGGACAGCAACGCGGCGACGACGGCCAAAACAAACTCCTTCAAATAAATGGTAGTAAAGATCATTCGTCGTATATTATCAATCGTATATGAATTTAATACAGTCTTAGAAGTTCAAGACATGGGTTTTATGTTTGGGAAGAGCTCTGCTGAAGACAGCTGCTGAACCCAGTTTGCACTTGTTGCGGCTTGAAATGCAGCCGTGAAAATCTGTGATTTGGCGTTGTAAACAGAGCGAAGGACAATGTCTAAATCATCCATATATTGTAATTATTCAATTCAATTTTCAATGATTTATTGTATTGGTAGCCGTTGCCGTCATAGACTGCGAGCAATCCCTCTATTTTCCTTCGTTTTATTGTTTCCCGGACTAAGACTGAACGCGCGGGAAAATGGCAGAAAGGGGTGCGTTCAGTCTTAGTCCGGGAAACAATAAAACGAAGGAAAATAGAGGGATTGCTCGCAGTCTATTGCCGTCACGTTGCCGTCCTAAATCGTAAGGTCTCTATCACAGAATAAAGACATACAGAAGTGTAACTTCTATTACAAAACCGTAAGGCGCTTTTTACCGAAATAGCTGGCGGCCATGTTCTTAGCAAGTGCCCTAAAGAGAGGCATTCACCCCCCTGGAATATTAAATTTTCAATATGTTTTCAGGGGGGGTGACTGCCTCTCTTTAGGGCACTTGCTAAGAACATGGCGGACTGAAAAAATCCCTTACGCACTTTTAATAAGAAGATACACTTCTGTATGTCTCTATTCTGTGTCTCTATTGATGTTGACAGATTGACCGTGCTCTTCCCATGCGTGAAAAGACTGGGACTAGCTTCCAAAAGTTTAGCTTCAAAATTCCGGTTCGAGATCGGCGTTTCCAGTTAATATATTCGTTTCACTGACCTTGGTCGATCATATCAATCAATATTTCAAGTAGTTTGTGTTTACTACAACATAAACACTTGTTATGTTAAGATGACATGCCGCTATGTACATTAATTAACTCGAAAGGAGAGTTTCAATATTAACGGTCAACATTAACTTCAGTAATTGGTAACGAAATAAACAATCCAAGAAGTTCCAGCTACTTGTGGGGTCCCCTTCCATCGCGTGTGTTGAAATCAAGGTAAAACATCTACGGAGAACATGTTTGAGAAAAAATTTTGGTTGTTTAGATTTTTCTGCGGTAACAACTGGAACCACTATATAATCCAGTGTACATTGACGTACTAGAGAACTTACGATTGACGTTTGCGGGCGGAGACCGGTGACCGTAAACTTCAAGTCGTATTTTGAGGTCAACTCAAGGTTAGCTATTCGAAGTTACGGCAATTTGTGCACGGAAATTGAAGCATGAATTAACTATACCGTCGAAAACTTGTGGAACTTACCTTTAAATGCGAATCAAAGTTTGCCATTA